CCCCCCCGCCCCCTTGGTGCCCATATGTTTGTTCTCTACGTCTGTGTCTCAATTTCTGCCTTGCAAACTGGTTCATCTGTAACATTTTTCTAGATTCCACATATATGTGTTAATATATGGTATTTGTTTTTCTCTTTCTGACTTACTTCACTCTGTATGACAGTCTCTAGGTCCATCCACGTCTCTAAAAATAACCCAATTTAATTCCTTTTTATGGCTGAGTAATGCTCCATTGTATACATGTACCACATCTTCTTTATCCATTCGTCTGTCGATGGGCATTTAGGTTGCTGCAGTGAACATTGGGGTGCATGTGTGTTTTTGAATTATGGTTTTCTCTGGGTATATGCACAGTAGGGGGATTGCTGGAATGCTGGTCTCTTGTAGTCCAAGTAATTAAATTATGTTATTCATTTTGAGGAGAATTATCAATTTATAAAAAGCATAAAGGTGCTTTTTTATTTGCTTTTGTGTTTGTGTGTGTGTATGTGTGTGTATGCATGTGTGTGGTACGTGTGATCTATATTGTTGTAATTTCTACTAGGAGATAACAAGCAGAATGTTCCCTTTGCCTCTTTCTCTTCAGTTCTCTTAACGTTTGCCTTTGGCAAAACTTGATTCTTTTTAAAGATTTATTGAATGAGTGATTGTGTTGATGATTTCCACATTAGATATGTGTATAATTCTTGATTACCTGTGACTGCTATTAATGTGACCTGTTACTGTTTATGGAGTTGTGCATCCCACCCATACAATACCCTTTGCTTACGAGTTATATTATCTCACATAGTGTACTTTATCTGTTCTGCCAGTGCTATTTTTCAGGAATAAGTTTTCCTGCTGCTTTGAAATCATCCTTATGGCATATAAGGAAACATGGAGCTCATCTAGTATTACTTTTTATTTTACAAATGAGGAAATTGAGATCCAGGGAGGCAAAGTGATTTGCTGAAGGTTATAACATTTATTATTGCCAAATTCTGGATTAGAATTGATCTAAATTCTAAAGACATCCCAGGCCCTCAAGACCCAGTGCCTTTTCCCTGATGCTATCTACAGTCTTTCTGTTTGATTCTATTATTGTATGTTCTGGAAGTTTACGTTCTATTTACCTGATTTCCTGTTTGTCTGCTTCCGTTTTCTATACATTTGTGACGTAGGTATCATGTTCTTATTCACTCAGTGTACCTTGAATGACTATTATGACCTGGGCATTTCTAGTCAGTGAAGATAACAGAGATGAATAGGGTGGATTTCTGGTTCTTAAGTTCACAGTCTTATGGGGGAGGATTGCCTATTAAGTGGTTTTATGAATGATAAACTAGATGCCTACTAGGTGTATGGGAGCGCTAAAGAGGGAGGGGAGGGTTAATATTACCTATCTTGTACATATGTCAAATCCTGTGTAATGTGAATTTTTATAGTCATTTTAATGTTGATTAAATGCAAGGATCTTGTGGATGATTTGGTATAGGATGTGGCTCATAGATTGTATCTGTGAAAGTTATAGAGAAACCTGGTACAAAGTTGTTTTGAGTGTAGAAAATAGTTAATGGAAAAACTTGGTGCCAATACTGCCTCCTGACCTGGATAAATTTGTACAGGCCAGAATGATCTAATTACTTATAACTTGTTTGTCAAAATAATGTAGGGATACCGTTTCTTCTGTGACGGTTCATCATTTAGCAGTATGTTAGCAATTACAAGAGAAACAGTGTGTATTATGGACAAAAATCCTGAGCTGTATAAAATCATTTTACCTTAATTTATAATTTTAATGATCTTTTTTGGCCTTATTTAATAAAAGTCCAGGCCATTGTCGGAATTGTTCATGAGTGTGTTTCTAGTGTAGTGTCTTTTGGATAACTGTAGGACTTTTGATGACTGCTTGTGATGGAAGAGTATGTGTGTATTTTTTGACTTTTTTTCTTTTTAAATGTAGCTATTTGGTAAAACTGGTTGTTTGCCGTATTTTCACTTATGAGCTCTGAGTTAGATGGGACTTTGAATTCTGAAACACAAGAAATTTATATTTCTTATTGCCATAATAGTCATCTTTGGTGGTTTTTTTTTTTATCTTTGGTGTTGATAAACATA